CAGAGAAGGAGTTAAATGACAATTGATTTGGACTGATTCTGTAAACGAGTTAAAAAGCATAGGAGGGTAATAACATTGGCACTACGCTATTGTGGCTTTTAGGTCCTCCCCCCCCCCCCAAAAAAAGGACTGAGACTCTCTTGTGCCAACACCCACACACCGTATTTGATGCTCCAGTCTGAAGGAAACCTTTTATAAATTTAAATCCATATTCCCTTGTTGATAAAATACATTTTATTCTATGTTTAACCATCAGCAAATATAACATAAAAACAATAATGGGAAGCATTATCTCGCTTGACGCAGTACTTTCATTCTATATTTCTAGAAACCTCTATTACGACGCAGTACATATCTATTAACGATGGGAAAATTTAAAATTCAGAGGAAAATCAATCTGATATTTTTTTCAAGTAGATTCAGTCTCAGAGAATTTGCTTGAGAACTTCCTTTTCCCCTAGCCACTCACTGGTTCACTCTCTAGCCTGTTTTCAGTCCCATTGCTTTTTGCCTAAATATGCCTTAAACACCCTTTTAACCCAGTAATTAATAAAGCAGACCGTCCCCACTTCTTCAAGAAGTCTTTTGGGTAGATCATTGGATTCTAATCTGTACTAATGCTTCAGATATCAGAAACAACTGGGGTATTTATTTCTTTTCATTCTGGATCCCCCGGAATTAGGCGAGTGGCTGTGTTGAACCATGAGATGGAAATGACCGTCTCTTGGTTAATGACTGATTGACGGTTGCTCGTGCGAGAGAGAAAGCTTTGCAGAGGCATTTGACATGCAAGTGAACATTCTGGTCAAGGCTGTTTGTGTATTTGCTAACAGGCCTTGGCAAAGGCAACCTCAGAACCACCCCAGCCCCCAGCAGGGATGGATGATAGAGAAACACTTTGAAACAGAAGGAGGCGGGCTCTGGTCAGGGGTGACCTCTCACATATTTCTGAGTGTGTTTCCAATGGAAACATGAGAGTCTGTGAAGATTTCAAAAGCTAGGTAAAGGGACCCCTGACCATTAGAGGTCCAGTCGTGGCCGACTCTGGGGTTGCAGCACTCATCTCGCTTTATTAGCCAAGGAGCCGGCGTACAGCTTCCGGGTCATGTGGCCAGCATGACTAAGCTGCTTTCTGGCGAACCAGAGCAGCGCACGGAAACGCCGTTTACCTTCCTGCTGGAGCGGTACCTATTTATCTACTTGTGCTTTGACGTACTTTTGACCTGCTAGGTTGGCAGGAGCAGGGACCGAGCAACGGGAGCTCACCCCGTTGCGGGGATTCGAACCGCCGACCTTCTGATCAGCAAGCCCTAGGCTCTGTGGTTTAACCCACAGCGCCACCTGCGTCCCTTTTTTCAAAAGCTAGGTGGCTGTTATTTAAACGGGAGATTTTGCAGCATTTGAACCAAAAAGTGTGCTCCACCATCACAGAGCAAATCTATTCCTGACCTGGGACGCACCTTTAAGGCAAACAGGCATTTATGGACTAATTCTCAATTTTACCATCTGCATGGTATGAGTTCTGCTGTTCTTGCCATCCACCTTAGACAAGCTGTGACCCAATAGTAGGGACCTGGCCCACCAGTTGAAGACCAATGCCATAGAGCAGTCTTGCTCAACCTGGTGCCTTCAAGCTGTTTTGGACTATAACTCATTGTCGTCTGAAGCAGCTGGAGGGCACCAGGTTGCAGAAGGCTGCCATGTTGGGGTGCCAGGTAGCTCTTTGATTGCTTGTGACTCTTTGTGATCCAAGACCTGTCTACCTCCCAGCGGCATAGCGTGGGTTGTCAGCACCCGGGGCAAGGCAAGTAATTTGCACCCCCTAACCCCTAACCTGCCGCCGCTGCCAGCTTCTTCTTGCTGCTGCCTGGGCTGGGGTATTTACGGTAAGGTAGCCACGGCGGCGGCGGGTCCGTGTCAGGTGATCTGAGGCGAGTTGCCGTGGGCGCTGCCGCCCAAACGACGCCACTTGCCCGGAGGAGGAGGAGGGCAGAGAGGCGAGGAAAATGCAACATGGCCCAGCAGCTGCAGCAGCAGCTGCAGCGGCGGCTGTGGCGGGGCTGTGAGGAGGGGCTGCCTGGCGCGCCCTCCGCGGCCCTGACGCGCGGGGACCGCGGTGAGCGCTGAGAGCCGCTGCCAGCTCGTCGGTTCCGCGAGACATGGGGCTCTGCTACAGCCTGCGCCCGAGGCTCTTCGGCGACTCCGGAGGCGGCGAGCGCGCCCCCCCCCGATGTTGCGCCCGGTGCGGCCGGCCCCCCCTGCACCCCCCACGCTACGCCACTGCTACCTCCCTCCACTGAGTACCATCTGGAGATGTTCAGTAGGCTGACTCTGGCCACAAGGTGGCCGTTAAAGGCACAGAGTCTAGGAGATTTGGGCAGAAACAGCATTGGGACAATATTAGCATAACCTTGGAGAATGTCACTGTGTAGTTCTAGTTGCTTCACCTCAAAAACAATATTGCAGAATCGGAAAAAGCTTGGAAAAGGACAACCAAAACAATCAAGGAGCAACTTCCCTATGAAGAAAGGCTGCAGCGCTTGGGACTTTGTGGTTTAGAGAAGAGACAAGTAAGAGGCATCATGATAGAAGTTTCTAAAATTATACATGACATGGACATCCATTGAAGCTGAATGTTGGAAGATTCAGGACAGATAAAATAAAGTCGTTCCTCATGCATTTCAGAGTTAAACTATGGAACTCTCTCCCACTGGAGGAAGTGGTGTCCACCAATTTACATGGCTTTAAAAGATTATTGGACACATTAATGGAAGAGGAGAGGGCTATCAGTGACTACTAGCCATGATGTCTATGCTGTATCTCCATCGTCAGAGGCACTAATGCTTCTAAAGGTGAGTTGCTGGAAATCTCAGAAGGGGAAAGTACTGTTGCCCTCATGTCAAACTTGCAGGCTTCCCACAGCCATCCGGCTGGGCACTGTTAGAACAGAATGCTAGGCTAGATAGACCAGTGACCTGTTCCAGCAGCTCCTGATTTGTGTTCTTATGTTTTCGATTCGATTCAATAATCTTTATTGTCATTGTCCCATACAGAACAACGAAATTGAAAAATCTACATTCAAAACACAACAAGCCTGCTATCCCAGCTATCCCAACCTGGTTAGCCCCCTAAAAACTCTGATACAGTGGTACCTCAGGTTACATACACTTCAGTTTACAGACTCCGCTAACCCAGAAATAGTACCTCAGGTTAAGAACTTTGCTTCAGGATCAGAACAGAAATCGTGCTCCAGCGGGGCGGCAGCAGCGGGAATCCCCATTAGCTAAAGTGGTGCTTCAGGTTAAGAACAGTTTCTGGTTAAGAATGGACCTCCGGAATGAATTAAGTACTTAACCCGAAGTACCACTGAACCTGATTTTTTGTCAGAATTGCCCCACTGGGTCAAACTAAGCAAATCCATCTATCCCAATCTTCTGTTCCCAGAAGCTCACAACAGAGCAGGGCAGGAGACAGGAATGTCACATAGCCCAGACAGTTCACAGGCTTAAAAACATGACTAAATAATGGGGTGTGTTTCTGCATAGTTCTAGAGCAGCTTAGGGCGAAATGAAAACCTACAAGACCCATGATGAACAGGTGAACCCAATATGCATCTTCTCCCCTCCCTCCCTCCCTCCCTCCCCACCCACCCCAGGCAACGGCTTGCCAAATCTGGGATCAGCGAGGCACCAAGCACAGCTCATATGTTGGGGGGATGTTCCCAAAGCCACTCAGTTTGGGGGAGAGGTCAATGTCCTTTGCAGGCACAAGGGACTTCAGAGAGAAGCTTTGCAAGATGGTGGTGAAATAGAGGAAGAGCTCCATGCGGGCCATGGCTTCCCCCAGGCAGACGCGCTTCCCTGTGGAGAGAGAGAGAGAAAGGAACCCGAACAAGTCATAATTTGCTTGGCCAAGGGGGGATCCACTCTGGCTGCAGATGCTGCAGAGGTCTTGGAAAGCCACCTTCCCTTCAGCCTTTATATTTCTCTCTCACATTATTCTCTGCCAGTACTACTATAAATAAAATAAAATAATTTATTTATATCCCGCCCAACTGGCTGGGTTCACCAGCCACTCTGGGCGGCTTCCAACAAAATATTAAAATACAATAGTCTGTTAAACATTAAAAGCTTCCCTAAACAGGGCTGCCTTCAGATGTCTTCTAAAAGTTTCGTAGTTATTTTTCTCTTTGACATCTGGTGGGAGGGTGTTCCACAGGGCAGGTCCCACTACCAAGAAGGCCCTCTGCCTGGTTCCCTGTGACTTGGCTTCTCGCAGTGAGGGAACCGCCAGAAGGCCCTCGGCGCTGGACCTGAGTGTCTAGCACAGTGTCAGTACTATGAGCACCATTGCTATCACTACCACTGCTATTATTCTTAATCATCACCATCGTTTGTTTCCCATGTTTCTTCCAAGGTTTTCAGGGTGGCACACACAGGAATCATCCCATTGTATCTTCACAACTGTGCTGCAGGCTCGGTTAAGCTATAAGGACTAGCCAAAGGCCACTTTCAGTAAGCAGTAAGAAACAAACAGGGACAAAGACCTACCCGAAGAAAATGGCACAAAAGCATCGTTCTTCTTAAAGCGCCCTTTCTCATCCAGGAAGTGCCCAGGGTTGAACTTCTGGGGGTTGCTGAAATATTTGGGGTCACGTAAGACTGAGCCTAATAAGGGGAAGACATCGGTGCCCTGGAAAGACATGAGACACAGATCCATATTGAAATGGAACTGACAGGGACAGAGAGGGCCTCATAAACAGATATGGCTCACCCTTTCATCCCCCCTTTTCCCAAAGGGTTGTTCCTTTTTAACTTAACTCCCCTCTTGTCTCACCTTGGGGAGGTGGTACCCCCGGAACTGAGTGTCTCGCATCACAGTGTGTGGCACTCCCATGGGGACTATGTCTGTCAGTCTCTGGATCTCATGGATGACGGCGTCTGTGTAGGGCATGTTCATCCTGTCTTCGCTGGCAGGGATGCGGTTGAGGCCAATGATGTGGTCAATTTCCTGGTGGACCTTCTCTGTGGAGACATTGAGAAACACCTTCTAGGAGAGCAACCAGGGGAAGTGAAAACATGGCCTTCTGTACACATCAGTAAGAGAAAGAAGCACATTATGGATGCGAGTGGAATGGCCCAGGGATTAGCTGCCTTCCAGAGCTTAGAATTGGAAGCTGTATATCATGCAGAGCCATCAAACCTTGAACTGAAAACAAGTGGACTTAGTGCGTTCAACCTTGTCTAATGCCTGACAGTTCCTCATCATTGTTCAGTTCCTATGGGCCTAGAAGAAGCTGGTATAAAACGATGCCTGGAAAATCCAGCAGTCGTAACTTACTGCTATCTCCCTGGGACATTGCGGCAGAGAGTACGGATGGCTCCGAAGTAGGGAGTAATTGCTTCAGTCCTCCTGAGCAGAAGAGTTAGCTAGCAGGAAGCCTTTCAGAGATGGCCACTTCCATATCCCCTCACTCATATGCAGTGGCTACTTTTTCTCTTTGTCCACAGCAGTCACGAAATTAAAAGATGCCTGCTTCTTGGGAGAAAAGCAATGACAAACCTAGACAGCATCTTAAAAAGCAGAGACATCACCTGGCCAACAAAGGACCGTATAGTTCAAGCTATGGTTTCCCCAGTAGTGATGTATGGAAGTGAGAGCTGGACCATAAAGAAGGCTGATCGCCCATGAATGGATGCTTTTGAATTATGGTGCTGGAGGAGACTCTTGAGAGTCCCATGGACTGCAAGAAGATCCAACCTCTCCATTCTGAAGGAAATCAGCCCTGAGTGCTCACTGGAAGGACAGATCGTGAAGCTGAGGCTCCAAGACTTTGGCCACCTCATGAGAAGAGAAGACTCCCTGGAAAAGACCCTGATGTTGGGAAAGATGGAGGGCACAAGGAGAAGGGGACGGCAGAGGACGAGATGGTTGGATAGTGTTCTCGAAGTGACCAGCATGAGTTTGACCAAACTGCAGGAGGCAGTGGAAGACAGGAGTGCCTGGCGTGCTCTGGTCCATGGGGTCATGAAGAGGCAGACACGACTAAACAACTAAGCAACAACTTTTTCTCTTCTCCTCATTATGGGTCAAAACTGAGGTGAGCAGCCGTAATTGAATCACTCCTCAACTAACCATGTGAAGGGGGCAGGAATGAAGTTGTCTCCAGTTGAACTTTAATGTGGAAATCAATAAATCTCTGTAGGAAAAGGAAGGTGTATGAGCACTTCCACCCTGAAGGTCTGTAAGGATAGAAGGGGAGCTCTTTCACTACAATATGCACCTGGCCTCTTCTCCATCTCACACTGAGATATTTTTGTTTTGCCCTCCAATTCTTCTCCTCTCCTCTTTCTAAGGGCTTACTTAAAAAGGTAAAGGTAAAGGTACCCCTGCCCGTACGGGCCAGTCTTGACAGACTCTGGGGTTGTGCGCCCATCTCACTTAAGAGGCCGGGGGCCAGCGCTGTCCGCAGACACTTCCAGGTCACGTGGCCAGCGTGACAAGCTGCATCTGGCGAGCCAGCGCAGCACACAGAACGCCGTTTACCTTCCCGCCAGTAAGGGGTCCCTATTTATCTACTTGCACCCGGAGGTGCTTTCGAACTGCTAGGTTGGCAGGCGCTGGGACCGAGCAACGGGAGCGCACCCCGCCGCGGGGATTCGAACCGCCGACCTTTCGATCGGCAAGCCCTAGGCGCTGAGGCTTTTACCCACAGCGCCACCCGCGTCCCCTTAGGGCTTACTTAGACCTCATGTTAAACATGTAATTGGGAAGACCACCTTGCTTCTTCTTTTATCTTCTTTTTTCAGAGAAGGCGTGCGAAGGCCAGCTTTCATTGGGACCACAACAGAGAGAGAGAGAGCAGGTTTTGCCAGTGGTGGCTGGTGCCCCTTGGGACTGGTTGGGTGGAAGACAGACAGCCCAACAGCAGATGGTGCCAGAGTCAATGACAGGCAGAGCCAACTAACCCAGACTTGCCCCCATTTTCCGTCCTCCCTGCTGAGCTCTGCAATGAGGAAAGTTGAGGCTGGGGAGGAAGAGAAAGCTGGCAGGTAGGTTCCACCCCTTGGACTGGACGTGTGGGAGAAGGCAGGCAGGTGGGGGCTGCCCAAGGGGGCACGGGATTAACTGTTCCCCACTTCACTGTGATCCCGATGAAAGCCCCCCCCCCCGCTATTAAACTCTGGGGGGAAATCCCCACTGACAGCAGCTGAAGGTTGCCTTCCATGATGAAAAGCAGAGTGAGGCAACACTTTTCATAGGAAGTGAAAGAAGACTTAAATCTTTCCTTCCCATGTGCTGCAGTCTCTCTCTCTCTCACCTACCTGTCAGCCATCCTCATGATGCTTTTAGCACTGAGGTGGGTGGCGCTGTGGGTTAAACCACAGAGCCTAGGACTTGCCGATCAGAAGATCGTCGGTTCGAATCCCCGTGACGGGGTGAGCTCCCGTTGCTTGGCTCCAGCTCCTGCCAACCTAGCAGTTCGAAAGCACGTCAAAGTGCAAGTAGATAAATAGGTACCACTCTGGCGGGAAGGTAAACGGCGTTTCCGTGCGCTGCTCTGGTTTGCCAGAAGCGGCTTAGTCATGCTGGCCACATGACCTCGGCCAATAAAGCGAGATGAGCGCTGCAACCCCAGAGTCGGTCACGACTGGACCTAATGGTCAGGGGTCCCTTTACCTTTACCTTTTACTAGTTGGGTGCCTCTAGTCTCCTGGTTCTTCTGATTTTGATACAGCTGCTGATGCATATTAGGTGCCAACATTAACCGTCTTATCAATGGTAAATGACAATGGCTACAAACTGCTATCTAAGCTTAATGGGTCGTATTTGGCTACAGTCCTGGATTGCTTTACTTTCAGGTAATGATTCAATCCTAAACCAGCCTTTACCAACTTGGTGCCTCTATATATTTCAGACTACAATTGCTGTGCCGACTGGGTCTGATGGGCGCTGTAGCCCAAAATACCCGAAGAGCCCCAGACAGGTAAAGGACCCCTGACAGTTGAGTCCAGTCACAGACAACTCTGGGGTTGCAGCGCTCATCTCACTTTACAGGCCGAGGGAGCTGGCGTTTGTCTGCAGACAGTTTTTCCGGGTCATGTGGCCAGCATGACTAAGCCCTTCTGGCACAATGGAACACCAAAACCAGAGCAGAGCACAGAAATGCTGTTTACCTTCCCGCCGGAGCGGTACCTATTTATCTACTTGCACTTTGACGTGCTTTCGAACTGCTAGGTTGGCAGGAGCAGGGACCGAGCAACAGGAGCTCATCCCATCATGGGGATTCGAACCGCCAACCTTCTGATCGGCAAGCCCAAGAGGCTCAGTGGTTTAGACTACAGTGCCACCCGCATCTGATGGGCGTTGGTAGCCCAAAATACCTGAAGAGCCCCAGGCAGATGAAGGAAGAAGAAGAGTTTGGATTTGATATCCCGCTTTATCACTACCCGAAGGAGTCTCAAAGCGGCTAACACTCTCCTTTCCCTTCCTCTCCCACAACAAACACTCTGTGAGGTGAGTGAGGCTGAGAGACTTCAAAGAAGTGTGACTAGCCCAAGGTCACCCAGCAGCTGCATGTGGAGGAGCGGGGAAGCGAACCCAGTTCCCCAGATTACGAGAGTACCGCTCTTAACCATTACACCACTCCACTACGTCAGCACTTGCTTGACATCTGCCAGTCCCAGATGTCATCCTCCATACCTTCCACTTCTGGGTGTTTCATCAAGAAGAGGAATCCGTATCTCAGAGTGGAGCTGACCGTCTCTGTCCCAGCAAAGAACAGGTTGAGGGTGGTGAGGACCAGATTCTTCAGGTTGAATTCACTGGAAGGGTTCTCTTTTTCCTTTGAAGGAACAAAGAAATTAGCATATGTGTGTGCATGCGTGTGAATGTGCACAGTGTACACAAGCATGGCCACTGGTGGGAAGAATAGTTTTATGGTTCAAAAGTGTTTTGACTCTGCTCAGGGCTGGATTTAGGTTTGATGAGGCCCTAAGCTACTGAAGGTAATGGGGCCCTTTATATGTCCAGCTTGTCAACAACAAATTGTTGCTGTTTTTTGTGTTGAATATACACTATATGGTAATTTATGGACTTAATAGGTCTCAAAAACCATCTGCACATAACAAAATACAGTGGTACCTCAGGTTAAGTACATAATTCGTTCCAGAGGTCTGTTCTTAACCTGAAATTGTTCTTAACCTGAAGCACCACTTTAGCTAATGGGGCCTCCTGCTGCTGCCACGCCGCTGGAGCACGATTTCTGTTCTCATCCTAAAGCAAAGTTCTTAACCCGAGGTACTATTTCTGGGTTAGCGGAGTCTGTAACCTGAAGCGTATGTAACCTGAAGCGTCTGTAACCCGAGGTACCACTGTATGTATTTTATCAAAGTCATTGTTGAACTGAAATACAATTAAGAAGAAGTATATTAATAATGAAATAATGATTAAGCTCTAACCGTATGTAGGGTTTTTTTTAATCTTATATTTTGGAAATGTACATCCAGGTTTTTTTTCTTTTAATTTTTTTGGGGCCCCCAAGAGAGTGGGGCCCTAAGCTATAGCTTGTTTAGCTTATGCGTAAATCTGGCACTGACTCTGCTAATGCCTCTTGCTTGTCTGGACAGATAGGGAGGGGTGTGGGTGTTACAGATACTGTCATGCAAAGGTCACATTCAAATTCATTGCTCAGCCCACTTTTTCCTCTGGCTCCATGCACTCCTGCCGTGGGAAAATGGCCCTAGGGCAGAAAAAGGTTCCCCAACCGTTGGCATAAAGGTAAAGGGTAAAGGGACCCCTGACCATTTGGTTCAGTTGTGACCGACTCTGGGGTTGTGGCGCTCATCTCGCTTTACTGACCGAGAGAGCCGGCGTACAGCTTCTGGGTCATGTGGCCAGCATGACTAAGCCGCTTCTGGCAAACCAGAGCAGCGCACGGAAATGCCATTTACCTTCCCGCCGGAGTGTTACCTATTTATCTACTTGCACTTTGATTTGCTTTCGAACTGCTAGGTTGGCAGGAGCAGGGACTGAGCAACGGGAGCTCACCCTGCCGTGGGGATTCGAACCGCCGACTTTCTGATCGGCAAGTCCTAGGCTCTGTGGTTTAACGCACAGCGCCACCTGCGACCCTTGGCATACAACCATGCATAATTGGACAAATTTCTGCTATGTCTCCTCTGAGCTGTCTCCCCCCCCCAACCGGAAAACCTGATATTGTAGCCTTTCCTCACAGGGAAAAATGCACCAAGCCACCTGCAAGTATTGTGGTTGCCTTTCAGCGCATGTTTCTGAGTGAGGAGAGCTGCACACGAAACCAGGATTCCAAGTACTGCTGCCCCTATCCTTGCAGGGGGTGGGGGCTTCCCTCCCAATTTCAGATAATACGGTCCAGTTTGGTTCTCTTCCCTTCTCCCATGGCTGAAGAGGGGATCCAGTCCGGTACCTTCTCCATCTGGGTAAGGAAGCAGTCAATGAAATCCCGTGGGTTGTTGGGATCGAGTGTCGCCTGGTTCTTTTTTATTCTCTCTGCAATGAAATCCTTGAGCTCCTCGATTAGGTAGTAGATGCGGTTGTGTCTCCCGGGCAAGTATTGCATGACGCAGGAATACATGTCGTAGAGCTGGAAGGGGAAAGCAGCCGTTGTTGCTGTATTCTGAGATCCTGCACCCAAAGAACAGAGCTTGTACATTGAGAGGAATAAAGAGCAGAGACTCTTGCCCAGAGATGGAAAGATGGTAAGATCCCCCCTAAGGAGGACTGGAAGAAACTACTGGATTATGCACAGATGGCAAGATTAACTGGGAAGATCAGAAATCAAGAGGATCAAAGCTTCAATAAAGAATGGTACAAATCTGCATTATATTTGAAAGACCACTGTAGATACTTGAACTCTTGAGCAGGTTTTAAATAACTTGCAATGACTTTGGATACAATGGAGGATAGCAAACTACCGTATTTTTCGCTCTATAAGACGAACCAGACCATAAGACGCACCTAGTTTTTGGAGGAGGAAAATAAGAAAAAAAATATTCTGAATCCCAGAAGCCAGAACAGCAAGACGGATCACTGCACAGCGAAAGCAGCAATCCCTCTTGCTGTTCTGGCTTCTGGGATAGCTGCGCAGCCTGCATTCTCTCCATAAGACGCACACACATTTCCCCTTACTTTTTAGGAGAGAAAGGTGAGTCTTATAGAGCAAAAAATACAGTAAATGGACTTATTAGGTAAAGGTAAAGGGAACCCTGACCATTAGGTCCAGTCGTGACCGACTCTGGGGTTGCGGCGCTCATCTTGCTTTATTGGCCGAGGGAGCCAGCGTATAGTTTCCGGGTCATGTGGCCAGCATGACTAAGCCGCTTCTGGTGAACCAGAGCAGTGCATGGAAACACTGTTTACCTTCCTGTCAGAGCGGTACCTATTTATCTACTTGCACTTTGAGGTGCTTTCGAACTGCTAGGTGGGCAGGAGCAGGGACCGAGCAACGGGAGCTCACCCCGTCGCGGGGATTCGAACCGCCAACCTTCTGATCGGCAAGCCCTAGGCTCTGTGTTTTAACCCACAGCGCCACCCGCGTCCATATAATGGACTTATTATATGCAGTAAAAAAAAAAAAAATTACTTGAAGAACCCACGGAAGGGAGAAGGGAAGTTCTGAGTTTCAGAAGAATCTTGTGCTATTTTTACCTTATATGTTCATGACTGGGAATGGAGTTGTAAAATCAAATTAAAAAAATAAATACAGATCAATGACTCCCAGAGAAGGGGTCTGTTGCCTCTCCCCATTTTCGTCTTGAAAAGCTGCGTTTCCATTTTTGGAATGCTTCCCTCTTGCCTTCCAGATTTTTCCATTACCTGTGCCCAAGGAGTGCTCATCTCGATGAAGCTCTCATTGATCATGCGCAACAAGGAGAGAAAAACCTTGTCGTCATAGTCAAAGCGACTGCCAAAGACAACGGAGCTGATGACATTGGAGACTGTGCGACTTAGGAAGAAGGTGGGATCAAAGGGCAGTCCTGAAAAGCACAAAACCAAGGGTCATTCGTGACGGCACCCTTTGCCCATTTCCATCTCCACAAACCTCTGGTAGCAGCAGCAGCACTGTGGAAAGAGTTGGGCGAGGTCAACACTAACCTTTAGTTTTCCTAAACTCCTCCAGCAGGTACTGGGCCTCCTCCTGGATCCGCTCCTCAATGGACCGTTTCCCCATCCCAAAATTCCTCAGGGTGGTGAGGGAGAAGCGACGCAGCTGCCTCCACCGTTCCCCGTTGGCCAAAGCAACTCCTGGAAATGAAGGCAGTGACTTTCATTAGGGCAGCCGTGGTTGATACACAATCTTATCTCCTGCCCTCCACATTTAGGCCTGAACAGGGCAGGCACATATTACAACTCAGCTGCTCCACTCACAAGCCCAGGAGAGGTTCTGTCTGGCAGGAAATTTAAGAAATTCTGGTGGTAATTTACATTGGCAATAACCCATCTGTGCCTGCTCCCAATAAGCTACCCCACCTTAGAGCAGACCTCACTCACTGTAGTTCAAAAGAGCTTTCTCTAGTTGAGAAAGGCTGTCTCCAACTAGAGATGGGAAAATCTGTAGATCTCAGTTTCTTCCACTTTCATATTTTCCCAAACTGAAGTTTGGTCCTCCACATTCCCATGCCAGTTTGAAATTCTTCTTTTTAAAGCCTTCATGAATATTAATCAACCTGCAAGTGTGATATTCTCCTAGTATATACATTTTTTTGCAACCAATTCCCCCTAATATAAAGGATCTTTGAATCTTACATATGCATTTTTATGGACACTACTTTAGCGGACACATTTTGGTACGTGTTACTTGTTTGGAGAATTGCCCTACAAAATTGGGAGAGCTGCAAATTCTGAAGCATGGCCATGTTTTGGTTTCTGTATTGTTTCAAAAAGGTCAGATTCAACCAGTTCATCTTCAAATATGAATTTCTGCTCTGTTCCTACCTGCAGAACAGACTCTCCTTTACCAATCATAAGAGTTTCTCCATGTTGTATTGGCATAATCCACCAGATCTACTCGACTCACCAAAGCCATTGAAGTTGCGGTCAATAGAAGCCAGCTCCCCCGACCACTGAACTCCTCAGCTTGGTCCACCAAAGCTTCCTTCACTGCCTCATGTCCACACAGAACCACAACTCTCCGCGGCCCAAGGTACACCGTGAACACGGGACCATATTTTTTCTGCAGCTGAACAAGAAACCATAGTTAAGAAGCCAAGTAGAAGCCTTCAATCCCTCTGGGCCAACCTGGTGCCCTCCAGATGTTTTGGACTACAATTCCCATCAGCCCTAGCTACCATAACCATGTTGGCTGGGGCTGATGGGAGTTGTAGTCCAAAACATCTGGAGGGCACCAGGCTGGCATTTATGGCATGGGAAAAGTGGACATACACACACCTTGCAATTAATTCTATAACATTCTGTCATTCAAAGAGATTCGTTAGTAAGAGATTCAGAACAGAGAGAGAGAAAGTCCTACTTCACACAACATAGAGTTAAGTGGTGATGGTGGTAGACCCTTGTGGTGGTAGATACTTACTTGGGTGGCTGTAAGTAGAAATAAAATAAATCCATGCCGGGTGGGTATTTGGCATAGCTGTCAACATTTCCCTTTCTTTAAGGGAAATTCCCTTATTCCAAATAGGATTCCTCGCAAGAAAAGGGAAAAGTTGACAGCTATGGTATTTGGTCAGTGGGTATTTGCTCATAAAAGGTGATATAGAGCTTCCATTTTCAGAGGCAACATATCTCTGAATTGCCTTTGTGGAGCAAAAAGTGGGGTTGATGTTGCCTACAGGCCCCTCTGGGGTCTTTCCAGAGAGTTGTGCTCAGTCACAGATGCAGTGCTGAGCAGACCACTGGTCTCACCTGGCTGGAGTCATAAGAGCTACCTTGTGGAAGGTGGAACATGCGCTCATACCTGTTCCCTGACTCCACTTGGGCAGTTCGAAACACAAGAATTCTTGAAAACTAAGCATACAGCCCCAGCCCAGCTATAAATTCTCCCCTCATTTCCTCCCAAGCTTCTGATGGCAAAGAGAGCACAACTCACCGCCAGAAAGGACTTAAAGGGCTCGCTGGTTTTGATTTGCAGCAAGTTGCCGATGAAAGGCAAGGGCGTTGGCCCAGGGGGCAACTTGCCTTCCTTGTGCATCCTCTTCCATGCTGAGATGAGGAGCAAGCAGGAGCCACAGATGGCCAGGAAGATGCTCAGTGCCCCTCCAAGCTCCATGGCCAAGCGGCTGAGAATCAGCTGAAGGCCAGCCTCGGAGCACCCATTATATGCCCCTGCCCTGTAAGTGAAACCAGCTAGCCTGGCCTCCTGGACTTCCTTGCAGAGCAGGAAAACAAGATTGGGTTTCAATATAGCATTCATTGTGTGGGGAAGGTAGAGGATGGACGGATTCCTCTCTGAGTTCAAAGTGAGCATTTGGGGCACAGTGGAAGATTTCTTGGCTAAACCGAAGAAGGCATTTTTTAAAAAAACACTGCATAGCTTCCCACCTTTCTACTGTATCTTGCAGAAGCAGGCAGATTTAGGATCAGAGTTCAAAGTCTGCAGAAATCAATGACACAGCCTTGCTGCCAATATTTATCAGGAAAGTTCCTTTGAGCATCCAAGAGATCTGTTGTTGTTGTGTTTGTTGTTGTTTAGTCATTTAGTCGTTTAGTCATGTCCGCCTCTTCGTGACCCCATGGACCAGAGCACGCCAGGCACTCCTGTCTTCCACTGATCCCACAGTTTGGTCAAGCTCATGCTGGTAACTTCAAGAACACTGTCCCACCATCTCGTCCTCTGTCGTCCCCTTCTCCTTGTGTCCTCCATCTTTCCCAACATCAGGGTCTTTTCCAGGGAGTCTTCTCTTCTCCTGAGGTGGCCAAAGTCTTGGCGCCTCAGCTTCAGGATCTGTCCTTCCAGTGAGCACTCAGGGCTGATTTCCTTCAGAATGGAGAGGTTTGAACTTCTTGTAGTCCATGGGACTCTCAAGAGTCTCCTCCAGCACCAGAATTCAAAAGCACCAATTCTTCGGCGATCAGCCTTCTTTATGGTCCAGCTCTCACTTCCCTACACCATACTTGGGAAACCATAGCTTTAACTATACGGACCTTTAATGGCAAGGTGATGTCTCTGCTTTTTAGGAGGCTGTCTAGGTTTGTCATTGCTTTTCTCCCAAGAAGCAGGCGTCTTTTAATTTCGTGACTGCTGTCACCAGGAGATCTGTATATGCTTATTATTATTATTATCTACATGCAGGCGTGCCAACTTGAATAAAATATTGGGGGGCCCAGGTAATTTCCGCCCCACATAATTGATCACAAATGCATGCACACCATTGAATGGAAATGCCCATCAACATATTTTTTGGGGGAGGGCTCAAATATTTTATGGGGGCCAAAGGGACCTTGGCCCCCTAGGAGTTAACTCCTATGAATCTGCAGCCTCTGCTTGTATACTGGGTTAGGGAGATCATTGCTCCGCCATGTATGAGCCCATTGGTAGGTCCCAGAAGCAGCCTCCAGTTAAACGTTCTATTCTGAAAGATGTTGAGATCATGGGAGAACTATCGCCTGCCCAGGCAGGGCCATAGCTCAGTGGCAGGTCACCTGCCCCACATGCAGAAGGTGCTGGGTTCAATCTCTGACAGCATCTCATAGCCAGGCTGGGAAAGAAGGTTTCAGCTGTGATTCCTGCATTGCGTAGGGTTTTGGCTAGATGACCCTTGGGGTCCCTCCTGTGAGCTGCCTTGCATACAGAAGGCCTCAAGGACCAGGTCCAATCCCTGGCATATCCATATGGAGCTGTAAGAGACTCTCTGTCTCAAACTCTGGAGAGCCATTGCCAGTCAGTGCAGACTATGAACAAACTGGGTGGGCCAGTGTTCTGACTCAGTGGAAGACAGTTTGCTATGTTCCAGCTGGTAAACTGGGGCCGGCTCCAAGGGTGACAAGTTGAGCATTTGCCAAAGCCACCAGCGGTTACTGACAGCGCTGCCTTTCCCCTTGTGCACAGAAAAACCAGAAACATCATAGACACAACAGGGGTTTATTCTCTATCGATGCAGAATGCTGCAGCGAGGCTCCTCACGGGGTCCCTGCCATGGGAGCATATTCACCCTGTGCTTTTCCACCTGCACTGGCTCCCAGTGGAGTACAGGGTCAGATTTAAGGTGCTGCTTTTGACCTTTCAAGCCCTTCACGGCCTAGGACCCTCGTACCTACAGGACCGCCTCTCCTGGTATGCCCCACGGAGAGCCTCAGGGTCCATAAATAGCAACACCCTAGAGGTCCCGGGCCCTAAGAAGTCAGATTAGCCTCAACCAGAGCCAGGGCCTTTTCAGTGATGCTCCGGCCTGGTGGAACGCTCTGTCTCCTGAGACCAGGGCCCTGCAGGATCTGATTTCTTTCCGCAGGGCCTGTAAGACAGAGTTGTTCCGCCTGGCCTTTGGCTTGGAATCCACTTGATCCCTCCCCCTCTTTCTTTTTTCTTTTTCCTTTCTCCTCCTGTGATGAGGCTGCATTTTAATATTTTAATGTTCCATTATTTTAATGTTGTACTTTATTTTTGTTTTTAAGTTGTAATCATTCAACTTGTTTTTATTATTGCTTGTAAGCCGCTCTGAGCCCGGCCTTGGCTGGGGAGGGCGGGGTATAAATAAAAATTATTATTATTATTATTATTATTATTATTATTATTATTATTATTATTATCTATCCTTGCTACCTCTGCATGGTTTAGAGGCCACTGCGAAAGGCCCTGCCTGAAGATTTGCAGAAACAAACTCTGGGTGGAGTAAACTGTTTTGGGCTGGGTGGTTTGACTTTGTACAAGGCTTGGAGTCTTGTCTCATCCAGCACAATTTCAACAGGGCACCACTTGGAAAATGAGACCCATTCAAAAATTCATGTGATGCGAGGGCTCCAGCTGCCCAAAGAACGACAAGGCACTTCCTTGGGAAGTGATTTATAATGAGTTGGGGGAAAATGTTTCAAATTGCTTTCCCGAAAAGACCAAAGTCCTTTCTATTGGGAATAATCTAGACAGAAATCCCATGGGGTCAGAAAAGCCTGTTTATGTAGGCAGCAACAGCGGCCTATGTTTTGTTAGCCCCAAAATGGAAAGTGAGCGAGGTCCCTCGTAAACAAGATTTGCAACTTAAGATGTTAGAATTTGCAGAACTTGCAGGTTTAACACGTAGAATAAGAGAGCAAGAAGAATGTATATTTAAAGAAGAGTGGGAAATATTCATTGAATATGTGGGGAACAACTATACGCAGCTGAAAATGCTGGCAGCGTTAAAATAAATTCAACAGCGTAAGTAATAATTGATTGTTGTAAAAGTGGAAATCTGATTTGAATAGTTAAGGTAAAATATGCAGGAACAGAGGATATGCAAAACGAACCACGGAAGGAGAAGAAGGGAAGTCAGTGGATATCCTAAAGTTTGTAAAATGTTTATTTCGAAATGTAAAATTGAAATCTTTAATAAAAATCATTTTAAAAAAGGAACGGCGAGGCACTTCCATGCTTTATCATCAGCTGGGAAAATGTTCCGCTGCGTGGAACTCACGGCTACCTCAAAATCAATCACGGGTGTTGTCAACTCAATGGCCCTCGCCCTTCAGCCAACTGCCCTGGGTCAAGAATGCTGGACGGTTGCTTCATTTAAAACCTTAGCAAACAGAAAAGCATTTTACAAACACTGAAATCAATGAGAGATTGGGAAGTACTCTGCGAGCAAATGGATCAACAGAAGCAGGCGAGGAGGTGGGGGCTGAGCTTTGCATCAGCAGTTATGTAAAGCGAGATTGGGTTGCAGCTGGCATTATGCAATCCCCTGCAAGGGAATAACTCTCCCTTTGGGAGCCTGACTTTGCACTTTGAGTGCCTTTGTTTACCCACCAATCACTCAAACCCTTGTGAACAGAGGCGAGGCAGCGAGAACGCTAACTGATCCTCCATACCTCAAGCATGTATGGCCCCAGCTGACTAATATTTAGCAAGGCATGAGAAGACCGGAGATGACTCTGAGAGGTGGCACAATGTAGACAACCTGCGGCAGGTCATTCCCCTCCCCCCGCAACACAACACACTTTTGACAGGCTTTTGTGAGTGTTACGGAAATGACCGGGGGGGGGGGCACATCTTTAAAGTTGTTACAATGTTACAAATATTATGCCTGAATGTATTCTTTTGACTTGACAGCTCAGGGAAGATGCAGTGGTACCTTGGGTTAAGAACTTAATTTGTTCCGGAGGTCCGTTCTTAACCTGAAACTGTTCTTAACCTGAAGCACCACTTTAGCTAATGGGGCCTCCTGCTGCTGCTGTGCCGCCAGAGCACGATTTCTGTTCTTATTCTGAAGCAAAGTTCTTAACCTGAAGCACCACTTTAGCTAATGGGGCCTCCTGCTGCTGCTGCTGCTGCGCCACCGGAGCACGATTTCTGTTCTCATCCTGAAGCAAAGTTCTTAACCTGAGGTACTATTTCTGGGTTAGTGGAGTCTGTAACCTGAAGCGTCTGTAACCTGAGGTACCACTGTACCTAGCTTTATAAATCTGTAGAAAATTCATACTTTAACCGACTCTCCTCATTCCAACGCCATTTTAACCCTTAATGAAAGGTGAATTTGGGCTCCACCTCCCTCCATGGACCAAGAAGCAGGCAGTCACATAGGGCATCCCGCCATAATTCCCCAAGCGTGAGAGCACAGACACGGCCCCCCACCCAGGGAGTGACCAAGAAGTCAACACTAGACATCCGCAGAGGCAGTTGAGCAAGGCTGGTGTTCTGAAGACCCATCTCCAGACCAGTCCTGAGGGCAAGGAGATGTCAAGAGTTTTATTGTTCTTTCAGTGATGGTGTTGGGAAAGGGGTCTGATAAAGTGACCTAATGTTGAACTTGTGTAACCCTTGTGTACCCCTCCCCATTTGTGACATGCTGGTGATGTAGTGATGATGTATCAATGACGCTGCTCAAAGTGTATTCTGGGGGAAAGAGGAAAGTTTTGAAAGAGGATGTCACCCTGTAGGGATGATCGCGGAGTGGGGAGTGGGGTCCGGAGGGAACACACTACCCACCCGCAGGCAGCCTCAGCCTGCCTGCACGCGTGACCTTGGGGTGTGGAGCACACACACCCCTCACAGACAAAGCCACGGCTGTCTGAACACTGTTGCCTCTGACTAACCTTTTGCGGTCTCAGTAGTCTGCAGTGTCCTGTCTGTAATTTTTG